CTTCTTCCGATACTAACAGCTGCGGTAGAGTGCTACGGTGTAGAATGAAAGATGCAAACAAAAAACAAGTAAAATAAAAACAGTGTGTGAAATGAGAAAGGGAACTTAGATATCAAGCAGGGGTAGCTAAAAGCAAAAGCGCCGATGCCGGGGATCGAACCCGGATCTTCCGCGTGACAGGCGGAGATACTAACCACTTTATTTACAATGTATATGTGTACAAAAGATACAGACAAATTTGAGCATCAGGAGGCTACCTAACTAGCAATGGCCCAACTGCAATCCTAGGTTGAGACCCCCAATGGGGTCTCAAGAACCAACACCAAGGTACGCAAAGTCAGCCAAGGAGGGTGGGGTGGGATCTGGTGGGGCGGAGGGTGTGTCAACACTGTAACGAATTTGTGTCCGACGGCAGATGGTTCGAGCCTGCTCACGCTGGTGCACCAAGGAAATCCTCTTGAAGTAGCTAGTCTCGAAGAGCTCTGGAATCAGGTCAGATGCACCACCCATGTCACGAAGTCGAGTCGCCCCTCGTCTGCTGCAGTCTTTGATGAAGCTGAGAAATGCCGTGCTGAAGCAACCGAAGGTTTCAAGAACGAGAGGAAGAAGCTTCACGTCTGGGCGGTTTTGTAACGAAGATGCATACAGGGTCCGCTTCTCAGTTTCGCGAGCAGATGCAACTGAGCCGATTACTGATGCAGTCTTGGAGTTTGGGGGACCATGCTGCGGGTCTGCAACTGAAACATCTAATGCCCACGTAGTCCCAGAGCTGATGTCACGGCAGCTGATGTCTGGGCGACGTCCTGAAAGAAGGTGGGAGTCCTCCAGCTGTACGACGTAACCAAGCTCGGACGTGATGCGATGAACCTCATGCTTGATGGCGTCGTGGACCCTAGTAGGCTCGTTAGAGGATGGGCAGCGGAGGACGTGAGAGACGACTGAAGGGTCTGTGAATGCCGAGCCACAAGTGCATGTGCGGGTGGTCGTGAGGTGTGGAATGGGGAGGCCAAGACGAATAGCGGCTGCAATACACCACTCAGTAGGTGACAGCTGCATGTGCGAAGAACATGGAGCCACAGTAAGCCAATCGCCAGCATGGGGCCCTTGTAGGGAGGTTAAACGGGCCAAATGTTGGGGAGAGGTTACTGTGGATCGCACGCGCTCGAGCATGACAGCCTCCAAGTGCTGTGAAAGGTAGGAATATAGCTTCTGTGGATAGCCAGCGTGAAGTGCGGGCCAGGTAGGGAAGTGCTGCCGAATGGAAGGATGAAGTTTGGACATGGCTGTGGGAATGCATGGGTCAAGGCGGTCCATGGTGTCTGAAGCGATGAAGGGACGGAAAATAGGGGAGCCATGAATGGTGAAGCATGACGAGAGGAGTGAAACTGTCTGTGCCCAGCTGCATAGGTAACTGAGAGAAGCAGTTGCAGCTGAAGAACGGAGGCCGAACCCACCGAGGCGAATGGGAAGGAATGGCTGTCGGTGTGCTGTGGCAGTGTGGTCAAACGCAGGAGGCCAGTAGTCAGAGCCGATGAGGCGAACAAAGTGGTCCAGCAAGGTGTTGTCCCAGTCAGTGTAAAGCTCTTCTACCTCGGGAAATGGTGCAACTGTGCGGAGGAGGAATGAGGGACGGGCGGAAATGCAGAGAGTAAGGAGGCGGGAGGCAGTCTGTGGATCATGAAGGTCATGTAGGAGAGGCAGTGATGAAGAGAAAGAGTGCAGTTTGTCTCGAACTGTGGAGATAATGTGGGTGTCCGATCCGATAGGCACTCCTGCAACCGTGAGACCGTTAGGGGCAATGATGATGTCTGATGGAGGTGTGAGGTCCGAAGGGAGGTCCAAAGGGGCCCAGAGGGAGCATTTTGATGGTTGCACCCTCAGGCCCAGGTCATTGAGACGGGCTGTAAGCGCTGTGTAGGCAGGAAACACGTCATGCGCAGGACCGACCATGTACAGTTTTCTATATTAGACATTGACACTCCCTCCCGCCGATGCCGGTGTTCGATATTGCACGATCAATCGCCAAAATCTTTCCTTGTGTCCATGTCCTCAAGTTATATTTGGTCCTGCATGCAAGAATTTGCGACAAAACTATTTGTTTCATGCAGCAGCCTCACAAGCTCCCCTAGCTTGGGCTTCAATCCGTTTCCACCAAATCCTCGTCTTTTAGCTCCACCATAGACTAAATGTGATGGCTAGGAGCTGTGGTATTCCCTCCGCTGATACGCTGTTGAGTCCTCTCACAGATTCATGCATAACTTGAGGGGTAAAGTGTCAGAATGTTATGCTATAGCCTTTAGTGGGTGCTCTATAGCGAGTACAACCCTTCTATGGTTTGCTATTTGTATCCTCATTCCTGCTAGTGAAAATCCTCTTCTTTGCCTAAACTGTCTCTTGCCTAGCTAGGACTCTCCTAGCTAAGGCTCATAATCCTACCGCTTACTTCCACATAAAGGATAATGTGGAAGGAGCAGTAAGAAGCCATTCTGCAATGGCAGGAAACTCTCGGGAGGAGAAGGATAAATTAAGGGGAAAGGACCAGGCCCCTAGATTCGTTTTGAGGTAGTCTGAGGCCTCAGAGTACACCCCTCCTGGAACTCTGTCTGTCAGAGGTGCCTCAAAATTTTAGTCTGAAAATTCAGATAAACACAATTTTTTTTGTCTGAACCGTCAAAGTTACTTCAAATTTTAAGATGTTCATGCAGTTTCGTAAAAGAAGTTATAATAGCATTGAGGCTGATTACAGCCTACCATACCAACGCATCAGGCAACGTGCTCGTGCTCGTGCATCGCCTCTGCTCATATCGGCGGCGTTCCAGTGTTTTTGTCACGTGCAGCGCATGGTTGTTTCTGCTCTGCTGATCTCATTTCGTTTTGTCGTGTGTGTGATTACCGTTCTGTACCCATTTTCTTGCATGTGTGCCGATTTTGTCCGTTTTAGATTTGCTTTTCAAGCGATTCGATCGTTCACCCGATCTGTATCAAATAGGCCAAGTGCCACGCAGCTGAGCTGGCAGCAGGCAGAAACTGTTGCTTGGCGTGGCATGTGAGGATCAGACAATGCCACACGAAACTTTCAGTACGAATCAGGAACTTCGCAATTTACACCAGTGCGTGCTGCAGATGTTTTTACAGCGAATCAGCATCAAAGTCGCCTATTCTTTACAATACATTAGCGATAACTTACATGTGACGAGATTTTGTCTTCAGAAATCTCGTAATCACGCAACCATTTCCTCAGCGAAACTGGAAGATATTCTCGACAAACGAGTGTATTTGGATGTCCCAGCTGTCGAAGTGAGCATTGCTCATGTCCTGGCACTCCACTGCCATCTCAGAAGTGGGCATATCTGAAGGAAACTTCCAGGAAACTTTGCTCCAATAAGCGCGCAGAGTGTACCCCTGATACAAGTCTGAAGCTTAGCCTACCCTAGTACCGTCATCACCCGGGTATAAGACAGTGTTGAATAGTAGATCGGGGTTGTCTATTATACGGGTGTCTCTTATAAACGGGGTAGCCTCATTATAAGACACCTATTTGTGTGTAGGGGCAAATGGCAAATGTATAACGAGCAAGTATCTTCTAAACGGATTTTTGTCCATTTATAAGACAGATTTTTTTTTTTTATGTATGAGATCAGACATACATGTCTTATATCCGGGCGATGATGGTAAAATTAGGCTGAAATTTCAGACAACTCATAAGAAAAAACTATGGAAAATCAGACAAGGTACATAAATAATTTCTTTGAGTTCAGACTACGGTAGGTACAAAAAAAAAGTCTGGACAGACTCTGATTCAGACTCCAAAGTCTGATGTCTAGGGCACTGGAAAGGACCCAGGAACAGCACGGTGAGGGTGTTCAGTTACTTGCCTTCAATAAGATATCTTGAGCATTTAACAGTTCTCCTTGCAACCTCTATGCTTCTGAATGATCCTTAGCTGTTGATACAACTCATCCCGCTCCTCAGCGGATAGGGAAGAAACCGAGGAGCGTGCGGGAAGGGAATATTGCGGAAGCGGGACCACTGTGAGGATTGAGAGGATAATCTTATGCCCGTGATGCACTCATTTGCTTAGGCTGGCTCGCTCAGCGAACAAGTAAGGCTTACTCAGGTGCTCTAGCGGATCTGAACGAGAGCGAGTTCGCAGGAGTGACACATGCTCCGTTTGACGGCAGATGGATGCGGCGCCTCCCATAATTTCGAAGCAACGAAACAACGTGATGCTTGATTATGCGGTACGAAATAGCCACAATAATAGACATGGTAGAGGGCCCTTTGAAAGCACAAAGGCAAAGTAGAGCGCAATGCAACATGATATTTCAATTGATATGGTACACAAGATTTTTTCGACTAAATACTCATGTACTACCTTGCAGCCGGATTGAAAATGTGCGAATTTCTGCAGGCCCCAACTCCACAACCAGAGAAGCAGGATCAACGAACGATTCTCGAGCCGACCTATTTTCATCACCTGCTCCCTCAACTCCCTCCTCGCCCTCCACTCGCCAGGAAAGAGGCTGTCGCATGTCTGCTTGTTTCTGATTGGCCATCAGACTCAGTTCTGTCACCTCATGTATCTGCTAGGGGTGGGTGGGAATGTGACAGTAAGGGAAGTAACATGGGGGGGATGAGATGGGTGTGATCTTGGTAAGGGATGGAAAGCAATTACACGCTCTGAGGCTGGATAGTAGGGTTGAAATTTGAAGCTAGCATTCTAGGGGTTTCTGAGATTGACTGCTGTATGATTCCTGGTCAGCTCACTCACAAAATATTATGTATGCACGCAGCTATGGTTGAATCACTAAGCGGTGTGTGAAGAGGTGTGTGCGAGAGAGGGTTTGAGAGCAAGTCAGAACGCAGGTAGGGTGACCAGTTACATGTCACAAAGAGGCGACTATTAAGGGTTTTAAACCAAGAGCGTGTTAGAGCTGTTGAAAAGGTAGGGCGACCAGACTATCTACCTGTTGAAAAGGTAGGGCAACCAGACTATCTACCTGTTTTGCTGCAAACAATCTTCGGAGGTCCACTTGAGCTGGACGCGACCAGGCAGCATGCTCCCCGGGCTGCAGTTGCAGATGGGGCAGGGAGGGGGAGGCCGATGAGACAGGGAAGCAGATGAGACAGGGAAGCAGATGAGACAGGGAAGCAGACACACATAAGGCAGTGAAGGAGGTGGGCTTTGGGTCTCCTGAAACCAGGAGGCCTTGCCGAGTTCGAGGGAGGTATTATTGAGAATGAAATCTTGGCGGAAAGGAGGAATACAAGGGCAGTACAATGGTGAGGGAGGTATGAGGGCGTGTGTAGAGTGTAAGTGGGGAGTGGAGTGCAAGTGGTGCAGTGCAATGCAGAGGAGAGGACGGTGAGATTTTGAGAGGATTGGAAGCGGTGCAGTACGGCAGGGCAGGATGGATGGAAGGCCGACTGGGGGGGGATTTGAGTGAGTAAAGGGCACTAGTGAGGCAGGGGTGTGAGAGAGGGAGGAGCGCGAGTGCGGACGAGGAGTGTGTGAGGGAAGAGGTGTGAGTGAGGAGAGAATGAGTGAGAGGGAGTGAGTGTGGGACTCACTTGATACAGGTGAGCTAGTCTCAAGACAACCGTGCTTGGTGAGAGCTCCTGCACATGTGACAGTGGCACAAGCGCGTTTGAGATAAACGGAACAACTAGTAGCATTGCAGCACAGCACAGCACGGCATGGCACAGCACAGCATTCTGATGGAGCATACAACACAGCGTTCTCAAAGCTCCTCCACGTATGCTGGTGGTGAGAACATGGGGGTGCTGATGGATGAAGGATCAACTATAAGTGGTGTGGGAGGTTGAAGAAGGGAGGGCAGAGGAGTGATGGAGTGGAGTGGACGATTATTTGCTGAAGTGCCTAGATTATCGTTAGCGAAAGGTAGGTGAAGCGATAATAAATAGTGGAAGATTAATGTGTGCAGCACGAATGTTGACGCGTCTCAACAGTGTTAAGTACGGATGATACACAGTGATGTCAAGGCGCCTCTTACAACACAACACAGTGCTTGCCTGCATGCACGATGATTGTTACCTGCATCGTGATGACAGCAACATTGGGAGGAACCGAGTAGGATGAAGCACTGTTAGGCTTGCTGGATGACGTGGAGGATGCTGACGTGGAGGATGCTGATGTGGATGATGGCTGGGAGAGGGAGTAGTGCCACGTGTAGCTGCCTTGTGCTGCCCTGATGGACTGCTGAGTCTGCAGGAGTCAGAGAAGAGAGAGGGCGGGGTTGGGATGGATGGAGAGAGGTTCGAGTGGATGGAAGGTTGACGGTGGAGCAAGATGGTTTGCAAGGGAAGCAGAGGAGCGCGAGAGGGAGCACATGGGAAGGGCAAGAATCATCAAGGAGAGGCAGAGGGTTGGCGGGAAGGAGGTCACTGAGTGAGAGATGGCGAGGGCTCACTTCAACGGCAAAGGCGAGCCGGAGAGGGGCTATGATGAGCCGCTGCGTGCATGTGCCGGGTGCATGTGCTGCGTGCATGTGCTGTGACATGCAATTGAAAACTTGCGAAGAGAAAGAGAGGGAGGAGCATGGAAAGGGCTCACTTCAACCGCAAACGAGAGCTGCAGAGGGGTTAGGAGGCGCTGTGCGTGCTGCCTCCTCCACTCGCTTCCCTGCCCCAACCCCACACGCTCTTCCCCTTGCTCCCCTTCGTGCTCCCCTGCTCTTTCTTCAGAGCCTGTGTTAAGATGCAGCCCAAAGCGCAGCAAGCCCACAACCTGCCGGGCATGGGAGAGACAGTTGTTGGAGGGTGGGGGGAAATTGGTAGGGCTTAGCCCAAACGAGGTAAGACAAGCTGAAGTGGGGCGATGAGCGGCCCCCTTGCTCCCCTTCGTTCGTGCTCCCCTGCTCTTTCGTCAGAGCCTGTTTCAAGATGCAGCCCAAAGCACAGAGAGCCCACAACCTGCCGGGCAGGAGACAGATGGTTGTTGCTGGGAGGGTGGAGGAGAGTCAGTTGTTCGAGGGTACGAGAGATTGAAAGGGGATAGTCTGCACCAGGTAGGACAAGCTGAAATGGGCTGTGTGGGCAGCCCAAAGCGCAGGGAGCCCACAGCCTGCAGGACGGAGGAGAGAGAGAGATGGTTGTTGCATGTGTTTGCATCTTCCATTGTACCACCCCTTAATCAATGCAAGGACCATTCGAGATGGTTGTTGGAGGATGGGGGCGTTCTGAAGGGCTAACAGTGACGGCCAGCTGAAGTGGGGCTATGCGCGGCTGTGTGCAGCGAGCCCACAACGTGCACGGCAGAGGAGGGAGCGATGGTTGCTGGAGGGTTCAAGAGGTGGAGAGTGCTCGCTTTAAACGTTCTCGGTGGTGCCCAGTGTGCAGTTTGATTGATTCTAAGCGCCAAGATTCTGGTAACTGCAGGGCAGGGGAGAGACGGTTGGTCGTACATGGTATTGGGCGGAGAAAGAGGGTGAAGTGGGCGAGGAGGAGGGGGGGATGTTGAGGAGTGGGTATCAGGCAGAAGCATTGGGAGATGGAGGGGAGGGAGGGGTGGAGGTTTGGAGGAAGGGTTGTGACTTGAATGGAAGGAAGGAAATATGGCAGGGGTGGGGCCACAGACGTACATGAGTAATGGGCCCTTGAAAGATTACAGAGAAATAACTGAAAGAAGCACTCACGGTGAGGGAGCGGGTCCTGTTGCCCGGTGTGAAGCTCTTTCGTAGTGGTTCCCCCACCCCCTTGAGTCGACTCACAGGAGGTGACTTGTGAATTTGAGTCGACTCAGAAGTCACCGAAACACACGAGGCACTCACGGTGAGGGAGCGGGTCCTGTTTCCCAGTGCGATTCTTTTCTGCGCGGTTCCCCCACCGTCCAGCTGTGGCCGCAAGAGGACGGCTGTACGTGAAAACGTGAAATGAGGTTGTTACGTGGAGCACTCACGGTGAGGGAGCGGGTCCTGTTGCCCAGTGCGATTCTCTCCTGCAGCGGTTCCCCCACGCCCTTGCCATCCAGCGAACTCAGCTTCCTGGTGGCATGTGAGTGGGGGAGGGGATGGGAGAGATGGGGGAAGATGGGTCACAAGGGTGTGACGAGTCACAAGGGTGTGACAGACGTGCTTTGCTCTCCTGCAGCAGTTCCCCCACGCCCTTGCCATCCAGCGAACTCAGCTTCCTGGTGGCATGTGAGCGGGGGAGGGGATGGGGGTGTTGGTGGGGCACTGGGATCGTTCCCGGTTGAGTGTGGGAGGGCTACAGGTGCGGCCTGGGGGGTTATGGGTGTGCTACCCACCCTACAAACATGCCCTTTTAGCCCAGTCGGTAGCAGGCTGGGCGGGGGAAGATGTGGGGAGAGGCAGGGAGATGAGGAAAGATGGATGTCAAGGTTGGTAAGACAGTGATGGAAGAGTGTGTGATATATATATATATATATATATATATATATATATATATATATGCATTTTGTTTTTGCAGCACATCAAACCAGGATTGGTGTAGCAGCTGTAACCAACACGCAACTTTCCATGAATACATGCATGCACCCCCTGTGCTACAGTACCATCACTGTGCCACAGTACCATCATTCTGCTCAAACTACAGGTGGGAGCACAATACAGGGTTTACCCTAGGTGGGGTTGAGTGTCTGACCTTGGCCCAATCGTTTGGCCCCCAAAGGTTGGATTGGGAGATTACTGGAGACGCAATAATCTTGGCACACCCTTACAAAAAATATCGGCCCCCGCCATAATTTCCCAATCAACCTATTGGTGGGGGCCAATAATGTTGGCCAAAGTATCCTTTCCCCGCCCCTCCCCTCCCCTCCCCCCCCTCCTCCCCGTTTTTCTCACCTGTGTAATTCTGTGATTCTCTGATAGAATAATCACTCTTCCATCATTCTTTTCTTTCTAACAGGCTTACCTATGCTACAGTACCCTTACTCGTGCTACAGCACCCTCACTCGTGCTACAGTACCCTCACTCGTGCTACAGTACCCTCACTCGTGCTACAGTACCCTCACTCGTGCTACAGCACCCTCACTCGTGCTACAGTACCCTCACTCGTGCTACAGTACCCTCACTCGTGCTACAGTACCCTCACTCGTGCTACAGTACCCTCACTCGTGCTACAGTACCCTCACTCGTGCTACAGTACCCTCACTCGTGCTACAGTACCCTCACTCGTGCTACGGTACCGTCACTCGTGCTACAGTACCCTCTCCTGTGCTACAGAGATGCTACAGTGACCTCACCTGTGTAGCATGACCTCTATCTGGCCGGATGCCAGGCTGGCAGCGCCTGCCGCCCGGTCCACAAGCACGGACAACTGGGCTTCTTTGTCCTTTATGAAAGCCCCGACCGTAAGCTGGAGTGGAGTGGAGAGCAAGGGATGATGGAAGAAGGCAAATCAAGAGAAGGATGGGTGCACGACGGCTCGGAGGGGAAACAAAAAGAGAAGACTCTTGTTCCTATTGACTTGCCAATGCGATTGCGTCATTCATAGACAGGACCACTCCCAGGTGCACTGATTCTTGCCTTGAGTTGACTCTGGTTGACTCTGCTGCCTCTAGTTGACTGTGATTGACTGTCCTGACTCTGTTGACTTGCGTTGACTCACCGGGTAGTAGTTCCCTGCGATGGGGTCGGTGACATTGAGGTCCCAGTCAGACCGGTAGTCCACCACCTGAACATGCGATGGTGGGGTGGTGTGGTGGGGGTGGTGGGTGGTGAATGGAGACAGCATGGTGAAGGGAGAGGGTATGAATGGGGTTGGTGACATTGAGGTCCCAGTCAGACCGGTAGTCCACCACCTGAATGCGTGCGGGGTGGTGGGGATGATGGGATGAATTTGAAATCGACTCAAAAGTCAGAGCAGTAGTCTACCACCTGAACGCGGGGTGGTGGTGGTGGTGGTGGTGGTGGTGGTGGTGGTGGTGGTGGTGGTGGTGGTGGTGGTGGTGGTGGTGGTGGTGGTGGTGGTGGTGGTGGTGGTGGTGGTGGTGGTGGTGGTGGTGGTGGTGGTGGTGGTGGTGGTGGTGGTGGTGGTGGTGGTGGTGGTGGTGGTGGTGGTGGTGGTGGTGGTGGTGGTGGGGATGGTGGGGATGGTGGGGATGGTGGGGATGGTGAGGATGGTGGGATGGTGGGATGGTGGGGATGGTGGGGATGGTGGGGAAGGTGGGATGGTGGGGATGGTGGGGATGGTGGGGATGGTGGGGATGGTGGGGATGGTGGGGATGGTGGGATGGTGGGGATGGTGGGGATGGTGGGGATGGTGGGGATGGTGAGGATGGTGGGGATGGTGGAATGGTGTGTGGGATGCTGGGCTGATGTAGGTGGTATTTTGGGCACGTCCATAGGAGCATTTGCCACCTGGTGACTTTTGAGTCGACTCAAAAGTCACCTTATAGGCGGTATATTGGGCACGTCCATAGGAGCATTTGCCACTTGGCAATGGCATTTGTCTTGCTGCTGTGGATGGGAGCCGTGAAGGCAACACCCTCTACCCCGCTTGATGTGACTCCGCCACTTGAATCAGGGTGACCAGTGCTGCTGCTGTTGTCACGAGGAGGGAAGCGATCAACCACCCACCCCACTGTGTGAAAAGAGCTCCTCTTGTCAACAGTAGCCTGTCAGGATCCCAAATCTACAGCCTCTCTCACCCGCTTGATATAGCTTTGAGACATCTCAAAACATTACTTCATACACGTGGCGATCAACCACCCACCCCACTGCGTGAAAAGAGCTCCTCCTGTCAACGGTAGCCTGTCAGGAACCCAGATCTGCAACCTCTCTCACCCGCTTGTTGCAGCTCAGGCTATTGAAAGTCACTTTTGATTATCCACGAAAGTCATCCGCATGATGTAGCTCTGGCTGTTGGATTCAGAATAGCGGGTTGTGCTGCTGTCAATGGGAGCAGTGAAGCGTGTCGAGTTGCCAGGCAGCAGCAAGCAATGACCGTGTAGTGTACACTCATGCGAGCGCAACAAACACCCTCTCACCCGCTTGAGGTAGCTGCGGCCATTGGAGTCGGAGTAGAAGGCCTTGCTGCTGTTGATGGGCGCATTGAAGAGAGCTTCCAGGCGCCAACACGGACTGTGTGTGTACACAACAAACAACAAACAACGTCTCACCCGCTTGAGGTAGCTGCGGCCATTGGAGTCGGAGTAGAAGGCCTTGCTGCTGTTGATGGGCGCATTGAAGAGAGCTTCCAGGCGCCAACACGGACTGTGTGTGTACACAACAAACAACAAACAACGTCTCACCCGCTTGAGGTAGCTGCGGCCATTGGAGTCGGAGTAGAAGGCCTTGCTGCTGTTGATGGGCGACACGAAGCGAGTCACCACCTCGTGGTTGGGTTGCTTGGCGGGCAGCGGACCCACCTGGTCATCACACACACACGCACGCACGCACGCACACAGCAATGAACAGCACAGGCTGATGTGAACGAGCAGCGCATTCCTTTTCCATCGCGTGGAAATGGCTTCACAAGCAGTGGTGAGGCGAAACACCACCACCTCTGGTCTGGTTGCCACCCCAGGGGGGCAGGGATCCATCTGGCCCAAGCAACGTCTTGTCAGACCACAGCCGGTTGGCCCAGGCAATGTCTTGTGAGACGACTGAAATGAAGAGTCGGTTCATGCGGATTCTGGAAACCAGGGTGTGCAAGAATCAGAGAGCACTCACGGAATAGTGCAGCTCAGCGTAGTCCCCCCCTGGATACACTCTGAAGACCTGGGAGTTGGGAGCGGTGCAGAGCGGCAGAGACGCAAGCAGCGGGAGGATGCAATGAGGCAGTGGAAGCACGTTGCAGTGGGTAGGGCGAGGTAACAAAAAGGGAATCCATTTATGCACCACTGCAGGAAGTTGCGGGTTTATGTTTCTGAAAAGTGCCCTGCATACTCAAGGAGGTGGAGGAGAAGGAGGTGAAGGAAGTGCACTCACCTCAGAGATCCATGGAGTGATCTGGCGGCTGAACTCCTCCACGATTGGTCCACGCTGGATGTGAATGGGCACCTGTGCCACGTCAGCAGAGCAGAACAAAAATCTCATGGAAATCAAAGGCCTGGTGCTGTAAAGCGGCTTCACTCCACCCACCCACCCACCCACCCACCCACCCACCCACCCATGCACGCACGCACCCACGAGAGCACCCACCCACCCCAGCCATCAAGAGCCATTCTACACTGAAGGCACAGTCAGCACCGGTGCAGCAGGAGAAGCATCACAAGCATGTCGCACTATGGTGCATCACGTACATGCCCATGCGCTGCGGTGCACACACCACCTCCTCTGACCTTTTCATTCTCAAGACACTGCCACTGGCGCCACCACTGCCCTGCGAGAGGCATGCTGCGTCATGGTGGTGGTTCTGAGTCGTGACCCACCCTCCCGCCCACTGACCTGGTGAGTGCTATTCGTGGTGGTGGTGACGGGTGTGGCTGGCTTGGTGGTGACGGGCGTGGCTGGCTTGGTGGGCTGGAAGATGTCGCTCTTGAGAATTCTCAAAAGCGACTCAGATGTATGCACCTGCTGTGACTTGAACGACTCAAGGCACTGGTTCTACCAGTGGAGACTCAAGGCACTGGTTCTATCAGTGGAGTGTGAGAGCCATGCTGCGTGCACCTTGGCGCTTGTTGTGACCCACACGTCCACTGACTGACCTGGTAGGTGGCGTTGGTGGAGGTGATGGGCATGGCTGGCTTGGAGGGTTGGAAGATGTATGCGCCGCCGGCGAATGTGGCATACTCCATCATGCTGGCACTCACTGCCATGCCCATGCGCTGCCGTGGCATGGGGTGGGGTGGAGTGGATGAGGTGGTACGATGTATGCACCTCAAGCTAAGGTGGCATACTCCATCATGCTGGCACTCACTGCCATGCCCATGCGCTGTGCCATGGCGCGGCATGGGGGGGCGTGGGATGGGATGATGTGGTGGGGTGAGGGGGTGCGTGCCATGGTATGCAGGGAGCAGAGCAGATGACATGACAGGGCATGTAACAGGAGTGCACAACGAGAAATTACATCCATTTGAGGATGGTACAAGTGCAGTGCCTACCAAGTGCCATTGTCGGCTGGACTGGAAAGTTCAGTGTTTTCGCTTCACTATGTGAGTACGCTATGCTTTAGTTGCAAAGAAAGTAGAAAGAAGGATTGACACGATCCACTGTGTCAAGTCAATATGCTCTTCAACTGCAACAGCTTGCAGGAGGTTACCCATTCTATCCTTTCTAATCTCGCTTTCCCAGCCAGTAACAAATCATCCCAGCCAGTAACAAATCATCCCAGCCAGTAACAAATCATCCCAGCCAGTAACAATCATCCCAGCCAGTAACAAATCATCCCTGCCCATGTAATCCTTTCCCATGTCATCCCTGCCCATGTCATCCCTGCCCATGTCATCCCTGCCCATGTCATCCCTGCCCATGTCATCCCTGCCCATGTCATCCCTGCTCATGCCGCCAGCCAACCCTTTTCCCTCACTCAACACCCATCGCTAATTGCCCGCCATAGTCACATCACCACCCACCACTTACTTACTCCACTGCCACACCACAATCTCCCCCGTGCCACACCACTCACCACAACCTCCTCCGTGCCATTGGCACTCCGAGAGACCAGCTCCATCCGCTGCATGCCCACCGCTGACTTGGAGAACGAGACACGCAACGCAGCCCGCTCCCCACCGTCCGTGCCAGCACCAGCAGCACCGCTACCACGAGTGGCCCCCACGCCTTGCCACCCTCCCAGCACAACAGTATCACCCCCTTCCAGCCCCCTCCCTCCCCCTCCCCCTCCCTCTCCTCCTCCCCCACCCATCTTGCCCTCCTCCATTCCCCCACCACCGCCATGCAACCCCCTCCTGCTTCCTCTCCCCCTGCTCCCCGCCTCTCTCCCTCTCCTCTCCCCACCGTTCAACCCTCCCTCCTGTCCACCGCGCACCGCCATCCTCCGCCCTCTCGTGTTCCTCCCCCTCCCCGCCTTGCCGGGTTGCTTCTCGGCTGCCCCTGCCTGGGCCGCTGCAGCTTCCGTCTCAGCTGATGCCTTTTCAGATGCTGATGATGCTGCTGCTGCTGTCGCAGGCAGCGGTGCTGCCACAGGCTGTGCTGCTGCTGCTGCCGCTGCCGTTGTTGCTGTAGCGTCAACCACACTGCTCCATGCAGCACTCTCGTACGCTCTGCCAGGTGTGTCTGCACGTGGGGAAGGCGTGGAATTGTGAGAGGCAGGTGAGCAAGGGAGCAGAGTGGTTTGCAGGGGTGCTGTGGTGTGACAGGAAGCACACACGTAGCATGCTCTGCTTGCTCTCTGTGCATGTGCTTGTCTGCATGGAACATACCTTGGCAAACCGTCCTTTCCAGTGAGCTCTTTCCTTGGAACATACCTTAGCGAGCTGTATACCACAGCTTCTGTACTTTGACAAGCTTCAGATTTGCTGCTCTTCCGCCATGAGTAGCAAACCCGAGTGACGATTTTTCGAGATGGGCTAGACAGCGTACCTGACTGATGATAGGTGCTGTACCTTGGGTTGCTGGCGAGACAAAGAAGGTGGCGAATCCAAGAGGAGGCACCTCTGCATAAAACACAAGCGACAGCACTGCCTGCTGCTGCTGCTGCTGCTGCTGCTGCTCTCCCTCCTGCTCTCCCTCCCGCTGCTCCCCCTCCTTCTGCTCTCCCTCCTTCTGCTCTCCCTCCTTCTGCTCTCCCTCCTTCTGCTCTCCCCCCGTCTCCTCCTTCGTCTGCCTCTCCCGATGCTTCCTTTTCGGCTTATGGCTCGGCTGCGGCCCTCGCCCATCCCCATAATCCACCCACTCCTCCTCCTCCTCCCCCTCCCCGCCCTCCTCCTCATCCCCCTCCTCCCCCTCCTCCGCTCCCTCCTCCCCTCCTTCCCCCCCCTCCACCCCTTCCTCCTCCCCCTCCACCTCTCCTACTATTTCCCCCACGCCAGTGTAAGCAGCAATGTAGGTGGAGCGGGTGGCGGGGGTGACGAGCGTCTCCCTGATTATTTGAGAGGGGATGGGGGCGCCAGAGGCGTCGGCGACTAGCAGATTGGGGGATGACACCTGTCAGGGAGAGCATTGGGAGAGGGGGAGAGGGGAGAGGAAGAGAAGGGAGGGGGTGGAAGGGAAAGCGTAAGCCCTGATGTGGTTGGAGTGGAGCAGGTGGAGGGGGAGAGGAGGGTCTCTTGGAGTATTTGAGAAGGGATGGCGGCGCCAGAAGCGTCGGTAACAAGGAGATTGGGGGATGACACCTGTCAGGGAGAGCAGTGGGAGAGGCGGAGAGACGGGGGGAACAGAGGGAGGGGAGAGGAGGGTCTCTTGAAGTTTTTGAGAGGGGATGGGGGCGCCAGAGGCATCAGTGACTAGAAGGTAGGGGGATGACACCTGTCAAGGAGCGTAGTGGGAAGGGGAGAGAGAGAGGGAGGAGCAGAGGAGGGAAGGGATGGAAAGGGCGTAAGACATGATGTGGTTGGAGTGGAGTGAATGTAAAAAGGGAGGAGAGTGATTGTTGAGAAATTTGAGAGGGGATGGGGGCATGAGAGGCAGCAGTGAGGAGTAAGCTGGGGAAAGATACCTGTCAAGGAGTGAGGGGGGTGTTGTGTGGGGAGGGAGAGTGTGTGAAACCTCTGCGTTGTAAGGGAGAGGAGGGCAACAAATCGTTCACTTGATAATGCTGTCGACCTCTGGTGCCGGTGCCCATGCAGGTGCACATGCAGTTGCTGATGCAATTGCTGATGCTTAATGCCAATGCAAGGCAAGATGGATGAAGCAAGTAACAGCATTGAAGGGTGCGCGGTGCACTCATACCGGGAATCGAATCACTTCAGAGCGGGACCACGCGAGAGGGTTGAAGGCCACCACCACCTGTGGGATGAGTATGGATGGATGGGAAAGGTGGAGACGTGTGGGCCAATATGATACAGATGAGGTGCTTTTGAGGCACCTCATAAGAGGGTTGAAGGCCACCACCACCTGTGGGATGGCCCGATGGGTATGGATGGATGAGAAAGGTGGAGACGTGTGGGCCGATATGATATGGATGAGGTGCCTTGGGAATTCCCAATGGTGCCTTGGGAATTCTCAAAGGTGCCTTGGGAGTTCTCAAAGGTGCCTTGGGAATTCTCAAAGGTGCCCGGGTATAAGGATATGGGTGGGAGGGAGGAAGCATGGAGACAAGCGGTGCGTATGGAACTGAAAGAGAGAGATGGAGAGGGAGGTGGGTGAGAAGTTAGATGGAGGTGAGAGTAGGGATGGATGTGAGAGGTGAGTGAGAAAGTAGCAAGGAAGGCAAGCAAAGGAGATGCGGAAACGGGCAGTTGGGAAATGGGCAGTGAAACAGAGGGAAGCAAGGATGCACAGGTCAGTGGGTTTTGAGTTGACTGACTGCATGAGGGAATGCTTCACGGCGCTTTATGGGATGGTGTGTGTGTGGCATGGCATGTGAAACAGCACAGCACGCAGGGTACGTACCAGGGTCTGATCTGGCTGCAGGGGTGTTTCGGTTGGAGGGCAATAGGAGATGTTGAGCAGAGGGCACTGTGAAGACGGGGGAAGGAAGGGAGGGTGGGGAGTGGAATTCAGGGATGAGAGGGGGTGATAGAGGGAGGAGGGATGAGAGGATGACAGGCAAGATGGAAGCAGCATAGAGGTTAGGAGCATAGCGGTCACAAATGGTTGGAGCACAACAATTTGTGATGCTCAGACGTCGTGGGAGCAGTTGAAAGAGCAGCTGGTCTGGTTGGTACAGTCTGTCAACCTGATCTGATCCAATCCAATCGCCCCTTTGGTTTTACAACGTCTAGTTTTGAGACGTCTCAAAACCTGTCAATTTCATTGAATCCAACCAATCGCCCCTTTGACCATCGTGGCGTAGCAAAAAGAAACATCCAGGGAATCAGTCACCTCGTTGACCAGCTCCTGTTTCGCACTTCTACAATCATCCACATCACACCACCATCAACTCACACCACCATCCATCACACCACAATCACACCACCATCAAACCACCACCACATCACACCGCCACCATCAACACCATCACACACCATTTTCAGGTTCAGTGAAGGAAGCTGCTGTCCCCCCTGCTCTGCTTTGGCACCGTCGCCCAGCGTCACCCCCCTCCTTCTCCGCCCCCTGCTCACTTGCCCCTCCTCCACCTCCTGCACCCTCCTCTCCTCAGCCCGTGTGCCGTCAGCAGCACGGCCAGCAGCACCATTCTGGACCGCTTGAGGGTCAGCTGGCTGCAACGACTGAGGGTCAAACACCTCATTGGGGTCGCTTGTTCTCTCCTCCTCCTCCTCCTCCTTGTCAGGAACCCTCTTTTCCACACCGGAATTTTTCTGAGTCGACTCAAATATTGCCTCCTCCGTCACGTGAGGGACTTTCTTCTTTGCACGGGACCTTGCAGCATGCTTCCCACCATCTCCCTCGCCCGCCTCCTCATCCCCCTCATCTTCGTCATCCGCCGCACCTGCTCTATCCGCCTCATACAATAACTCATTCATCCTGTCGATTTTGTTGCGTGCCTTACCCTCTTCGTCCCCCTCATCTTCCTCATCCTCCTCGTCCCCCTCCTCCGCCCCATCTGCTAACTGGTTCCAGAACCCCCACCCGCGCTGCTCGACACTGTCCTCCCTAAATGTGAACTCCACGGCTGCTGCTGCCCGTGAGGACAGGTTGGAGGAGAGGTTGGATGGAGGTACGGATGGGGATGGGGGGAGGGTCCCTCGCGTGATGAGGTGCGCCAGTGCTGCTGTCAGCACGGCTGATGCCTGCATGGGCGGTTGGTAGGGTGGGGCATGGGAGGTTGGGAGATGGGAGGGGAAGTTGGCAGGAGGGGGTAGGGTACGGATGGGGATGGTGGGGTGTGTGGAGTGCCTGGAGAGGGGGGATGGTGCCTCGCGTGATGAGGTGTCAGCACGGCTGATTCCTGTATGGGTGGGGAAGATGGGGATGGCGAGGTGAGGTGTGTGGAGTGAGGTGACTTTTGAGTCGACTCAAAAGTCACCTAGGTGTGTGGAGTGGAGTGTCTGGGGAGGGGTGGGGGGTGCCTCGCGTGATGAGGTGCATGAGGGCTGCTGTGAGCACAGCTGGTGGATGCCTGGGTCGGCGGTCGGCGGTGGGTGGTATGGGGAATGGGGGGGCCCGTGAGGTTGGGAGGCTAGCACCAGCCTGAACCCATTTAAAGGAGCAGTCTATGGTAATACCATGCATGTCGCACCCAACCCAACCCAACCCAACCCAAACCAACCCATACGTGTATGTACGCAGCACCCAACCTCGGCAGTGCAGTGCAATACAGCCGTTCAGAGCAGTCGTCAGTAACATGCTGCTGTGCTGTGCCTGTGATGCGGTGTTGCACGCATAGGAGCTCACACATGCACGCATAGGAGCTCACACATGCACGCAGCACCTAATACCATCCGTCGCCATCCACGCCACAGCTCACCTCCAGCGCAGCGCGGTGAAGTCTGGCAGAGTAATCATCAGTAACGTACCGCTGTGCCGTGCCTGTAATGCCGTCGTGGTGCTGCCCCACTGCCACCGCCGCCTACAGCCGGAACGAGCTCAACCCTAACCCCAACCAGCCCTAGCTGTAGCAAGCCAGTCATCAGGCACGCACTCACCTCCTCTGAAGCGCGGCTGGAAGAGTAATCATCAGTAACGTGCTGCTGGGCCGCGCCCGTGATGCCATCATGGAGCTGCACCACTGCCACCGCCTCCTCCAGTCCATTCGCCTTGCACTGAGGGGACTAACCTCTACCCATGCACTCATCCCTCACCTCCTCAGCAATGCGGTGCAGCAGAGCAGAGTAGTCATCGGTAACATGCTGCTGCGCCGTGCCTGTGATCCCATCATGGTGCTGCACCACTGCCACCGCCTCCTCTAGCCCATGCCATACACTCACAGGAGCAGTCTCTACCCGTGCACTGAAGGGATCAACCTCTATCTGTGCAACCCTCACCTCCTCAGAAGCGCGGTGCAGCCTGTCAGAGTAGTCATCGGTAACATGCTGCTGCGCCGTGCCTGTGATGCCATCATGGTGCTGCACCACTGCCACCGCCTCCTCCAACCGGAACGAGCTCGCCACTCGCACCCGCCGCTCGCTCTCCCACCCCACCCTCATCCGCTCCACCCCTCCCGCACTCTCCCCCCCATCCGCCTGCTTCTCCTCCTTCTGGCTGTCTCTGGTCGTCTTGCCCATGTGTGTGTCGAGCACAAGGTGCTCCAGTACCATCATGCGCCCCGTCGCCATGCCCCATGCCTGTAGCGCTTCCTTCCCCACTGCTGCCTCTGCTGCTGTGGTGGCCTGAAGGACGAGAGAGCAGGACAGGCACACATGTGATGCTGTTGGGGTAAGCAAGACAGCTTCAGCCCACTTCTTGTCCTTGTAGAAAGGAAGCAATGGCAAGTGTGCTTTTTCAAGGGCGCGCCAAGTGACGTGAGCCAGGTGGGTTCAGGCATCCGTAGCTTCCAGCACTGACGCCAACCAACCAACCAGTCCCCTGCATGTAGGCCAGGCGAGCAGCATCGACCGACGGGTAGCGTGAAACATGGGTGAGTGAGGAAAACGTGATTGATGTGACTGTTGAGTTGACTCAAATGGTTGAAACAACAGGCCAGAGTGAAAGATGGGAGGGTGCGGCAGGTCTGGATGATGTGACTGTAGGGAGGGAAATAATTAATAGGTGAAATCTCTTCTCGCGTCACATCATAATCACATCACAACACAGCATATCGCATCATACCATACAACATCCCATCCCATCCCATAGCATCACACAGAAACAGGCAGCTGAAATAAGCAGCGCGCTAGCAGCAGCGAGCTGCAGGAGCGCACGAGGAGCTTCAGGGAGTAAGACCCAATGTGACATCCCATCCCATCCCATCCCATCCCATCCCATCCCACCCCATCCCATCCCATCCCATCCCATCCCATCCCATCCCATCCCATCCCATCCCATCCCATCCCATCCCATCCCATCCCATCCCATCCCATCCCACCCCAGCCCATCCCAGCCCATCCCATCCCATCCCATCCCATCCCATACCATCCCATCCCATCCCATCCCATCCCATCCCATCCCATCCCATCCCATCCCATCCCATCCCACCCCACCCCACCCCACCCCACCCCACCCCACCCCACCACCCCACCCCATCCCATCCCATCCCATCCCATCCCATCCCATCCCATCCCATCCCATCCCATCCCATCCCATCCCATCCCATCCCATCCCATCCCATCCCATCCCATCCCATCCCAACCCATCCCATCCCATCCCATCCCATCCCATCCCATCCCATCCATCCCATCCCATCCCATCCCATCCCATCCCATCCCCCAGCCCATCCCAGCCCATCCCATCCCATCCCACCACACCACACCACACCACACCACATCAAATGAGCAGGTTGAGAGGGCAGCGCACCAGCAGCAGGGCGCTGCAGGAGCGCGCAAGGAGCTTCAGGGAGTAAGACCCAATGTGACATCCCATCCCATCCCATCCCATCCCACCCCATCCCATCCCATCCCATCCCATCCCATCCCATCCCATCCCATCCCATCCCATCCCATCCCATCCCATCCCATCCCATCCCATCCCATCCCACCCCACCCCACCCCACCCCACCCCACCCCACCCCACCCCACCCCATCCCATCCCATCCCATCCCATCCCATCCCATCCCATCCCATCCCATCCCATCCCAACCCAACCCATCCCATCCCATCCCATCCCATCCCATCCCATCCCATCCCATCCCATCCCATCCCATCCCATCCCATCCCATCCCATCCCATCCCATCCCATCCCATCCCATCCCACCCCAGCCCATCCCAGCCCATCCCATCCCATCCCACCACACCACACCACATCAAATGAGCAGGTTGAGAGGGCAGCGCACCAGCAGCAGGGCGCTGCAGGAGCGCGCGAGGAGCTTCAGAGAGGGGCGGCTGCTGAAGTAGCCGGACCAGTAGGGCCCGTCGTCCTGGTAGCTGGGGCGAGGAGCGCATGGACGGAGAAGAGGGAGGGGTTGGGGGACGGGGGAAAATATGCGGAGAAGGGTCCTCATGTGAAGTAGCCGGACCAGTAGGGCCCGTCGTCCTGGTAGCTGGGGCGAGGGGCGCATGGGCGGAGGGGAGGGAGAGGGTGGGCGGAAGGGAGGGAGGGGAATGGGGACGAGGGGGGAACGCGAGAACATATGCGGACAATGGTTTCTCCTCTGAAGTAGCCCGAACAGTAGGGCCCATCGTCCTGATAGCTGGGGCGAGGGGCACATGCATGGGGTGAGGGGTGAGGCAAGGGGGGAGGGGAGCGGGAAGGGGGGAGACTGGGGGGAGGGTATGTGAGAACTCTATGCAGAGAATAGGTTCCCTTGTGCCATGGCCCAGCCTGTCCAGTGGGCGTGATGTGCCGTCCAGTGGAGCGTGCTGTGGCGGCCAGTGGAGCGTGCTGTGCCGCCTAGTGGGGCGTGCTGTGCCGCCCAGTGGGGCGTGCTGTGCCGCCCAGCGGGGTGTGCTATGCCGCCCAGCGGGGTGTGCTGTGCCGTGCTATGCCGCCCAGCGGGGTGTGCTGTGCCGCCCAGCGGGGTGTGCTGTGCCGCCCGGTGGGGCGTGCTGAGCCGTCCTCCCCATGGCTGGGGTGAGAGACTCTTGGGCATGGAAAAGCAGAGATTGGGAGGGAGAAGGGGAAGGGGAATGGGTGAGCGATAGGGGGGCATGATGGGTGAGAGAGATGTATATTCTTTTTAAGAACATATATAGATGAATGCAGTGTGGTGAGTGCGTGTGGGCGCGGATGGGTGCGGGTGGGTGGGGATGGCTAGTTGCAGGGGTAACCAAACCGTTGCCTGCCTGCTGACTCACGGGAACATGTCACCAGTCTTGAGAGGCCACGTGGCATTGGCAGAGTGGAGTGCGTCCAGATACATGGATGGCGTGGAATAGAGCGCGTTCACCCTCCCGTCCTGTAACACAGGTACAGAGTTAAAATGAGTAAAATCTCATCCCAAGGTGCAAAAAATTGGTTTCTTATGAGATGGCATGGCATGTCACGCCATCCCACCCCATGCCATGCCAAGCCAAGCAACCAGCAGCGACCCAACCCAATCATCCAGCATCCATCAGCCCACTTCGCACCCAGCGAGCAACTGACCAGGTTGACGTGGTGAATGAGCTTAAACCACGAGATGGCATGCCACGCCATGCCATCCCAAGCCATGCCTAACACACACCGATCCAACAGCGACTGACCAGGTTGACATAATGAATGAGCTTGTCCATGTTCTTGAACCACGAGATAGCATGCAATCCCATCCCATCCCATCGCATGATGTGTCATGTCAAGCCATGCCATGCCATACCACACCAACCACCCAGCGAGCGACCGACCAGGTTGACGTAGTGAATGAGCTTGTCCATGTTCTTGAACCACAAGATGGCGCGGTCAAACGCAAAGTCCTCGCCCATGGGGAACAGCAGGTGATTCGTCTTAAAGCCCTCCGCCTGTTAGTTAGTGTGAGAGAGAGTAAGGTGTAGAAGAAGCAGCAAGGGAGTTAGTGAGTGAGTGAGTGAATGAGTGGGTGAGTGAGTGAGTGAGGGCTTGGTTCAAGGTAAAGTCCTCGCCCATGGGAAGCAGCAGGTGATTCGCCTTGAAGCCCTCTGCTTCCTCGGGAGAGTGTGTGGGAGAGAGTGAGCCTCACTCACTCGGTGAGGTGCAGAGGATGCAATGGGTGAAGGGTGGCTGGTTCAACGCAAAGTCCTTGCTCATAGGGAACAGCATATCTTAAACCCGTGGGGCCCCTTGGGGGGTGAGTGAGACGAGAACCGTGGAGAGCAACGGTTAAGGCAGTGAGAGGAAGAAAGGGTTTTGAGATAGAGGGGTTGGCGGGTGGAAAGACGCTGTGGATGGTACAGAGGAGGGCCAATCACGCACACCAGGGAACTTAGAAGACTTGAAGGCCCCATGCAAGTACCAAGAAACGTGAAAAAAACTTAGGCGACTAACATTGCGCGCTCAATCAGTCACGTCGCCCATATTTCAAACCATGAGCACTTCAGCATGATTAACACGAACATCTACTGTGCAAGTGCGCTTGAAACACAGTCCAAGCGCCACACCACTCACTCTCGGTGTCAAAATTTTCAAGACGTCTCAAAGCACACTCCAAGCGCCACTCACTCACCCACCCTCGGTGTTACTTCTGCAACAAACTCTTCTGCGAGGCGCTGCACGTTCGTTTTTATGTCAACTATAAAAACATGTACTGGGCAAGAACCACTTGAAGGCCCAAGAGCCACTCACTCACCCTCTTGGTCACTTCCGCTACAAACTCGTCCACCAGGCGCTGCACGTTGGGCGACCCCCCATAGGGATTGTCCTGACCAGTGGACGAGGGCAGAGGGACGATGGTAGAGCAGATCGAGCAATGGAAGAGCAGAGGGTGTGGGGAAGCTGTGGTGGTGCGACAAGGCAGGAAAGGGGGAGTTACTTTTGCAGAGTGAAATGGGGTTGTCAGGAGTAAGGGGGTTCAGCGCGCACACGACCAGGGATCCACACAAGTGATCAGCCGAAACACTGAGTGGTGCAAGGCATGGTGCTGACAGGCATGGTGGAAGGCATGGTGGAAGGCATGGTGGAAGGCATGGTGAGACGTCTCAAAAACACTCCTTTATCACGCGCCTACAGGAGAGGTGCACACATGAAGCTTGCTGTGCAGCAGAGAGGCAAGTGCAGAGCAGCAGAGGGGCAAGTGCGTTGCAGCAGAGGGGCAAGTGCGTTGCAGCAGAGGGGCAAGTGCGTTGCAGCAGAGGGGCAAGTGCGTTGCTGCAGAGGGGCAAGTGCGTTGCAGCAGAGGGGCGAGTGCAGAGCAGCAGAGAGAGCGAGGGAGTACCTGAATGCGGTAAGAAGGATCGTCTGAGTCCTGGTAGCGGAACTGTGAGGGCGAGTAGTAACCATCATAGGATACCATTCCCAGCACCTGGGAGAGGGTTGGAGAGGGGTGGAGAGAGTGGGGTGGCGAGGGGAATGGCTGGTAGGATCGTCTGTTTCCTGGTATGGGCAAGTAGTAACCGAATACCATTCCAAGGTTGACGATGAAGGTTTTTTGAAATCGAGATCGCCGCGCTCGCGAACGTCAAAAAAGCCACCTTGATTGCTGGGCGCATGACATCCGATGGTGCTCGTGACATCCAAAGTCTTTGACGCGAATTTGACTTCATCTGCCGCTGGCAGAGTTGACTCACAGTGCTATCTGCTAGTTTTGAATTAAAATGTAAGAAGAGGATAAGAACTCGCTTTGCTACATGCAATCTAGCGGATCAGGTGCATTGCATTTGACAAGAGGAGAGAAGATGGTGACCTTGGTACGACCAATCTAACCGAAGCACACTCAATGCACGAGCACCACCAGATCCTATCTTCACCATCACCCGTACAACGCACGCAATATTCGCTCCACAACAGCACACCCTACATCTCAACAGCATGACATGTGGCCCACCTGGTTGCCTCGAACGAACCTTCGTATTGTCTGTCGTAGACAATACCACATGTGGCCCCAGTTCGTGTATTAGAGAAATACAGCTGCCTGCCTGTCTGGCACACGAACTGTGATGTCCTGGCGGACATGTGAGCCTGCTTCTCCTATTCAATCCCCAGCAGCACACCCTACCATTCAATCAGCCTCCTCACATATCACACACAACTGGTTGTCTCTCTGTGACGCCCCTTCAGCACGCCGCACAAACTCCATTCCATTGTTTTGGTGGCCAAACGAGTCTGCTTTTCCAATAGAATCCACCATAGCACACCCTACCATACAGCAGCAGCACACCCTAGCACACACCTGGTTTTCTCTCTGCGTCGCCCCGTCTGCCCGCCACACAAACTCCATTGTTTTGGCGGCCAAACGAGACTCCTTTTCCTGCTGGTCCACCCTCCCCATGAACACGGCTTCCAACCCCGCCTGGTGGGCACGTGTGTGGGAGGTGGGTGGGAGGAAAAGGGATGGGGGGTCGGGGGTGGGAGTGGATGGTCAACCGAGTCTCCCTCTCCTGTTGGTCCTCCCTCCCCATGGACACCGCTTGTAGCCCCGTCTGGTGGAGAGATGCTTGTGGGAGAAGGGTGGGGGAAAGGGGAAGGGGGGAAGAGAGGGGTGGTGGCGATTTCGTGGAGAGGAAGGGATGGGGAATGGGAAAGGGGGCAGGGGTTGGAATTCGCAGGCGGCCATGTGAGCGTCCTTTGCCTGCTGGTCCACCCTCCCCATGAACACTGCGCCTGGTGGACATGCATGTGGGGAGGGGTGGGGGGGGACTAAGTGGGGGGGAGGTGGGGGGGAAGGGAAATGAAGGAGGGGAAGGACCACCTGCCCAGGCCGCACCTGAGCAGTGATGAGGCTGGCTTGAGTAGCAGAGTGGCCGAAGGGGTCGATCTGCCAGGCGATGCGCGGGGTGACGTTGAATGTCGCCATGAGGAAGCGGTGCCCCATGGCCATCTGATGCACCATGTCCGTGTAATGTGCACACGCCTCGTCATGCATCACCCACCCGCCGTTGCTGCACAGCATAGCACATGGAAGAAACATAGAAGATATGTGTATGAGAGAAGAAGGGGAAGGAAAGGAGGGGGAGGGAGGGGGAAGTGGGGGGAAGGGTAGACACGGGAGTGGGGGTTGTAGGAGGGGGAGGAGGGGGGGATGACATGTCAAATGAGGGTTCTTCAACATCCCGCCATGGGGGTGTGCAGCATGCCCAGTACTCCTGTCATGCATGACCTACACGCCATGCTCTGGAGGTGAGGGAAAACTTGAATTCAGCGAATGCATGCATGCTACGGTAATGAAAACTTGAAAAAGCATGGGTGATGCTACTAGATTCGTATCCCTCCTGTCACATGTCAGAATGCGATGTTGTCAGTGAATCCCGGTCTACATCAAGGCATGGGCTGACTCACATGAACTCCAATCGGCCAGAAGCCACCAGCTTCCGTACTTTATCCCGCATTGGTTCGTGCTGGCGTTCCCACCAACGATAGAAAAAACCCTGCAGAAATACAGATAAGTGGTGCGACTTGTAATATGCTTCCACTTAGGATTTAGCAGTAGAGGTACCGAGCACTTGGTACTACCGTGCAAACGTAAGGCCACATTGAACCTATTACTAGGTCCAGACGATGCTCTCACCTGCTCGACTTGAATGAATCTACGGTCAGGATTGTCTGAAAGCTGGTCAACGACGGTCTCAATGATGTACTGTACCGGGTCGACCTGCAGTGATGTACGACGAAACAGAAACAGGGTGCGGATGAAGGTTAGCATTTGTCAGACTTTCGTCATCTCCGCTTGTCAGCGTGAACTGACTACACGGACCCACGTCATACAAACCACGCCCATGATTTCACGTCACGAACTTAATATGCGGCTCTCCGAACTTCAAAGACCGATGTTCCGCCAAACACAGAAGCCCCTTATCGAATTCCCTACGGAAGCGCAGCCCGGCTGGGAGGCCTTGAAGATCCATTTGAAATCTATTTCCAACATTTTCGGGGAACAATGCTGTAGCAGCGAGGACAGCGGACGAGTTCAAGCTGCAGTGAGGACTCCTGACAGAGAGTAACGCAGAATTCGATCCGATTCTTCAATCTCTCAATCTCTGGCATTTTTCGTAGTCCGTACTCACGTAATACTGATCAATGGTTTTCAGCCAACCGAGATCGTCGTGCGAGTGAGCCACCAAGTGTACGTTCAGCTTTCCGTCCACTAATACAGCGCTCGTGTTGTAACGAAACGGTACGATCTCCTCAAACGAGGTTAGAGATTCACTGCGAACCGGCGCGATCGGCGTATGTTCGTTCTGAACCGTTGCTGTTTCTACCCTGTCAAATGATATCGGAATGCGTGGTGACAGTGACTGCTGCAGCATCAGCAAAGTGAAGCCCGTCAAGACGCCTATAACGAACGGCGGCACGAGCACTGCGGCTCGATTCCATGAAGCCATCGCCGCCGCGTTCATCTTTAGTTCCACTGTAAGGAAAATCAGAGAAAGCTAGAAGCTATTGAAGATTCAATGGAAGGAGAACACTAACTCCGCAATGCCGTGAGTAGCTCGGTTATGAGGGTAGCCGCATCATTGCGATCTAACTGAAACATTCTTGGTAATGGTGCTCATTCCGCTACATGTCTGAAAGTTCAGCTCGGACTGGTGAGTAGTGAGAAATGGAAGTCCGAGTGAGAATACCGCTTCAGAGTGCATGGTATTGTACTGAACCGCTTTCGATGAGCAAAATGTGAATTCTTGGTCTGGTGCTCACTTGCTTCGCTGTACGGCAGCATTTGGTGGAGTGGGGGGGTGGATTCTGGATAAACCGTTGCATATTGTTTCCTGGTGCTCTGACGGAGTTGACGTTGAGATTGGGCCGAGGCTTAGGTACCGTATTTAACACTTCTGTAACGTAGAAATTGACCTGTAAAACGTTTTGGACCAAGGGATGTCGCGCGCTGAGTTCCTGGCTGGACGTTGGGACTGCCACCAATCAAGTCGCTCACTGCTTCGCTATTGTCGGCGCGGCGAAGGCTACATATGGCTATTTGAAGTCAGTTTCTAGGCATCTCATAAATCAGGACGCGGTACAGTTCGGTCTATCAGGGCTGACACGTGTTTTTGTAAAGACATAAGGGTAACAAGTGGTTCAAATTTTCAAACCTTCAACTCTTCCCAGCCAAAGATCGCAATGTCAGAACGGCTGACGTCAGTAACCATACAGGTGTCACGTTGAAAACCAGCAGATCCTGACCAGGGCAAATTTTATTAGTGTAAATCTCCCTAATACCCTGATTATCAGGGTGGTTTTTGGTAGTCACATTGACGGCCTAGGGTAAATTTTTTCGGGAGCTAGAATTTTCCTGATATGCCAGGGTTTACAAGGCACACTGATTGTGAAGAAGTGAACGTGAATGAACTATGAGTGAAGTGGGTACAAGTACTAACCCTAATTGGGTTGTACCCCTTATGGGATACCCCACTATAGCCTACACAAAACTATAAGCTATAATGTTCTGACACACCCCCATAGGCAAAGTGGGGAGAACAAGGGGTCACAAGACCAGTCAAGCAAAGCAAAGCAAAGCAAGCTCAGGGTGGATCACAACGTCACCACACAGTCTGAGCACAAGGTCAAGGCCACAAGGCCAGTTCACATGCAGGAGGAGACATATATATATATATATAAATATATATATAGGTCTAAACAAACAAGAGCAGGTATATATATATATATGCAAGAGTACAAGTAAGGTCAGGAGGTGAGCAAGTGAGGCAAGACAGGGACAAGTCCCAGCTGAGTGAAGAAACGCTGATGATCACAAGGCGGAAGTGCCTTGGTGAAAACATCAGCAGTGTTGGCCTCAGAGGCCACGTACGCAAGTCGCAACTGACCACGCTGCTGCAGCTCACGAGCAAGAAAGTAGCGGAGAGCAATGTGCTTCGTTCTGTGCTCCAGGCGCTGCTCTCGACACAAGGCCAGCATGGCCTTGTTGTCTACGTACAGCACTGGAGGAGAACGAGGCGGCTCTCCAAGGTCAGTCAGCAGGTAGGTGAGCCAGCGAAGCTCCTGTGCAGCCATGGCCCCGGCGTAGATCTCAGCCTCACAACTGGAGCCGAGAACAGAAGGCGAGCGAGTAGCCCGCCACGAAACAGAGCCGGAACCAAGACTGAAGGTGTAACCCTGCGACGACCGCTGCGTAGCCTGGTCGTCAGCCCAAGAAGCGTCCGCGTGCCCAGTGAGGACCACTGGACTCCGCCCTCCAAGCACTAGCCACATGCCCGACGTACTGCACAAGTAGCGTAACACCCTCTTCGCTGCAGCCATGTGCTCTGGTCGGTGTCTCCCAGGAGCAACATAGCGTGCCAAGATGCTAAGAGGGTATGCAAGGTCAGGTCGAGTGCAGGTCATCAGGTACATGAGGCAGCCAACAAGCTCTGGGTACGGGCCACTCGACTCTACGGACTCATCCGAAGGCAGAGCTGAGAGCGAGTGGCGAGTAGACAGAGGAGTGGCCTGAGGCGAGGAGTACGTGAAGCCGAAGCGCTGAAGGACCTGCTGCACCATGTGTGACTGAGTCAAGGTAATGGTGCGGCGTGCTCTGTCTCGGGTGATCTGCAAGCCAAGGTAGCTGCGCAGTTCACCCAGGTCTGTGCACGTGTGTCTCTTCTGCAGCTCGGACTTCACGTAGGCGAGTCCAGCAGTGTCCGCTGTGGCAAAGACCAAGTCGTCGACGTACACGAGGATGTAGAACGGCGGCAGAGAAGTGTCGGTGCGCAGAAACAACGACGAGTCAGCAGTAGAGGGAGCAAACCCAAGAGCCGCAAGCGTAGTCCTCAGTGTGTCGTGCCACTCACGCGGTGCCTGGCGGAGACCGTAGACTGGCCGTCGGAGGCTCCACTGGGTGCCAGGAGGGAAAGTCCCAGTGAAGCCAGGTGGACGGCGCAGCCAGATCTCCTCGTGCAGGCTACCCTGCAAGAAAGCAGTGCTGAAGTCAAGAGAGTGGAGCTCGTAGTCGCGCTGAGCGGCTATGTGCAGCAGCACCCGAAGAGTGGTCATCTTCGGGGTGGGAGAGAAGGTCTGAAAGTAGTCAACTCCTTGCCGCTGACTGAAGCCACGAGCCACGTACCGCGCCTTGAAGACAGGTGGAGAGCCCGGCGGCCGCTTCACCCTGAAGATCCACATGCCACTGACGATGTTCGCCCCACGAGGGGGAACCTCGTCAACGTAGGTGCCTGTGGACTTCCAGGAAACCATCTCTGCATCCATAGCTGCCTGCCACTGAGAGGAGTAGGGACCCTGACGGCCTCCGCGTAAGAGCGCGGAGTCGGGATGTCTAGTGCATCCGGGTCTCCCTCAGGGGCAAGCAGTACAGACGCGAGATGAGGTGAAGCAGCAGCCAGACACTGAAACTCCTCCTGCCTGTCCTCAAGGACGTCCGTGCCAAGAGCACACTCACCCCCGACGGACGGAGGACAGACAGACGCAGTCCCAGCAACAAGACTAGCAGCGTAGTCTAGACGACAGCGAGCAGCAAAGTCGACGAGCTCAGCAACAAGAGCAGACGCAGCAGTGGACTCAAAGGAGGGGTCAGTGACGACAGTAGCAAGGAGACGCGTGACAGTAGGACTGGCAGCACGAAGAGAGTCCGACTCAGGGTCGGCAAGAGCAGGAAGCGAGGACTCAGGAGGAGAGGGCAAAGGGGCACGCAGAGGAGCAGTGGACGGACGCACAGACATCCGGTGCGTGCCAGGGACAGGAGGAGGACGCTGACGCGAACTACGACCACTAGTGCGAGCAGCACGAACAGGCGACTCAGGACGATACGCAGGCTCACGACGCTTAGCAAGACCCCCAGTAGGACCAGTGTAGGAAGAGGGAGAAGGCAGTGGGGAGGCCGGCGGTAACTGTGACTGCGACTGGACAGGCGGTGGACCCTCTAAGAGAGGAGGAAGACCAAGAACCTGCTGAAGGAGCGGAACGAAGTACAGCCGAGGCCGCGCGGTGGCACGAAACACAGCACGGACAGCACCAGCACCCTCAGCACCTCCGGCAGCACCAGCGCCAACAGCACCTCCAGCGACAGGACCTCCAGCAGCACCAGCAGCACCCGCAGCACGACCACCTCCAGGACGGACAGTAGTAGTCTCAGAACCAACACCCTCAGCAGCTCCAGCTCCAGGCGGACCCGCAGGCCGAGCAGCTCCGGGACCGGCGGCACCAGCACCCTCAGCGGTCGAAGAAGCGCCAGCTCCAGCAGTACGCCTCCAGCGGCAAGCAAACCACTCACGCAGCTCCTGTGGAGAGAGTGGCTCCCGCCGAGACGAAACACCCGGAGAACCTCCAGGCCCAGCACCGCCAGACGCCACAAGGGGAGGTCCAGTGGCCGCAGGCTCCACACCTCCAGGCTCAGCAGCTCCAAACGCAGCACCCCCAGGCTCAGCACCCCCAGGCTCAGCACCCA